AGAGGAGGAGGACTGGGAGGAGGGAAGGGTAGAGGGTTGAAGGAGGAGGGAGGAGAGGAAGGCTGGGGGTGCACCGGTGCATAGCACAAGGGACACGGGCTGCAGGCCCTTCTGTCCCCAGGTCACTAGTGGGTGCCTGACCTTCCTAGCCTGGCATTGCCCTGAAAGGGCACTAGCTGTGTTGGGGTGGGTGCAGGTATGGCACTTGCAAATTGGAGAAATCACCTGGAGCCAGTGACAGAGATACCAGGCTGCCCTGCCTCTCAAAATCCAAAAGAAATAGGGGTGAGACAGTGGGGTGGGGGGATGCTGACAGTAGCGCGAGATACCTGGACTGCAGAGTTTTGGGAGTGCAGAGGGAAGCCGGAGCCCTAAGGGGGATGGCATAGATGCCACTCTGCAGGACACCAGGTGACCACACACATGGACAACCAGAGGCAGACACAGGATATGCATGTGTCCTCACTGCTGTGGGCAGACAACTAGTGGGAGCCCCGGGCCCCCAGAGGTCATCTACCTGTGCCATCTCCCATACTTCCCAGCTGCCCACAAAAGCAGAGGTCTGTGAGCAGCTCCCCGACTGGGGTGGGACCAAGTGTGCAGGAAAGAAAGGGACAAGTCCATGGGGAGCGTGGTCCTCACTGCAGGAAGCAGTGCTTGTGGGTGGCAGAAGCCCGGATGCAGAGGGCCTCAGGGTGTCCCATGTGCCAGGCTGAGACTGGGGACACAGCAGGGAGTAGCAGGCAGACAGTGACTGCATGTGCTTGGGGTAAGGGCCGTGGAGATCAGTGATCAGGGGGTGACGACAGACCATGTTGGGGGCTCCGGGAAGGCTTCTGTGAGTTGTCAAGCTGGGGAACTGTCACAACGCCACAGCCTGCCCCTCCCGCAGGAAGCAGCTAAACTGTGCTCAGCCCTCTCAGTGTGGCAGTCCCCCACGTGCTCACCCTGCCTCCACCCTCCCACGCATCCAGCATGCACACATGTGCTCACCCGCACAGGCCGGCACCCTCATGCACTCATAGATGCCCAGGGATCTACACGGGCTGCAGGTGCTCACACTCATGCCCACACTTGTACACTAAGGGTTTTTCACACCCTCATCCAGCTGTTCACGCACGGACACAGCTGTGTACCCCCACACACTCATACACACTATCAACTCACACATTTACACACAGGTTCATCCACACACCCTCACTCATGCACCTGCTGCTCTTTAGCTGTGACACGGAAGCAAGGCCCCTAGGCACTGGCTTTCTGGAGGGACAGCGAACTGGTAGACCTACAGGTAAGGCAGATGGCACTGCTAGGCAGTAGGCTGGGCACAGCAGGTGCTGGCTGTAGTTGGCCGATGGCTACCCTGAAGCCCGGGGCATGCCCAGTGGACTGGGCAGACTGGGTCCTCAGGGCCTACTGCTGCTGTGGGGACCCCTTGCCCTCCCTGTGGCTACGCAGAGTCCCCTCTATGGAACACCTGTTCTGAGCTGCACGCTGTCCCCTGCCACCTTCCTGCTGTTCTTCCTACCCTGCGTTTCCTGTGGGGCCACCAGACTGACCTGGAGTGGGTCAGGTTATGGAGCTGGCTCTTTATCACTGCCTAGGGGGCCTGGGAGTGGCTGTAAGAACAGAAAGAAGAGACACCCTCGGGGCTGTCACTGCCTTCTCTCAGGGACCAGGGAACAAACCGATCGTCCCTAGGGCATGCTCACTTCACTGGTGGCTGCTGGCCATGACACTAGCCCTTGAGGTCTGGCCTGCTCCCTAAGGGAGTACGCAGATGCAGGCCCTCTTCCACAAGGGCAAGAAGCGATTGGGGGAGAATATCTGAGCAGGGTCACCTGCTGGCACCCCTCTGCTTCTTCCCCTGGCTGGGCACTGCCCAAGGCCAGCCCAGCCAAGAGCTGGCCTTGCCGCACAACTTTGTGACGAGTCCCCCCAAAGCCAAGATCGGATAGCTAGGGAACAAGGTATCATGGAAGTCCCCCGCCCTTAGGAAATTCTGGTCCCCGAATCATTAATGTCCAGGAGTGGGAGTGGCCCCCCTTTTGTGGTTAATGTTGGATGGTCCCTGGCCAGGGACTGGGAGTGAGGTAGCCCGTGTCCCTGCTAGCCTTCACTCACTGGCTCCTCTTTTGTTCCTCAGTCTGTGAAGAGATGGGCAGGGAGAGCTTTGCTAGAAATTTCTGTTTTCTGTCCTGGAAATACTTAGGGAGTCAGACCCAGAGGAGTCTCTGCTACCTCATGTTCTCCCCTGCCCTGCTCTCCTCTCCTGTGGTCCCACACCTACTCCCTAGGTGCCCTGGACCTGCCTCCTCTGGTGCTCTTCAGCCCTCACCCCCCTGCCCTGGCCTCCAGGCCATGCTCCCCCTTCCCCACTGTCGGTGGGAAGGTATGTGACAGTGGGAGCTGGAACACTCAGAGCCACCAGAAGCTGGAAGAAGAAGGAACGATTCTCTCCCATATCTTCAGCGGGAGGGTGGCCCAGCCCACACCGGGTTTCTGGCCCCCAGAATTGAGAGGGAAGAGATGCATGCAGCTTTAAGCCACACAGCCAGTGGTCATTTGTCACAGTGGTTCTAGAACACACACAGACAGCCCTAACAGGGACACCAAGGAACACCACCTCACAAGCCCTGTGCACTGCTTCCCTTCGTCCTCCCAGCATGGTCAGCCTCAAGAGAACTCCATTCAAGAGAACTCAAGAGACTCTGGAAAGCCCCGACTGGCTGTTCATGTGTGAATGGACCCATGCATGCACGGTGGCTCCAGCCTTGCGGGCCAGCTCAGTCCCTAGGGCACTACCTGCACTCTGGCTGTCCCTTGTGCAGCGGGCACCAGGGTGCTTTGGTATCCATTCATCTTGGGGTTCTCCAGGACCCCAGGGGTCTGGGCCTTGTCCAGAAGCCAAGGGAGACAAAGGGTCCCCCTGCTGATGGTGCCCTCAATGCATGTCCGGAGTGGAGGCGGTGTGGCCTGTCCCTGTGGTCCTTGCCCTCCTGAGATGACACTCCAGAGCCCACAAGAGCAATGGTGGATGAAAACTGCCCCCCATTTCCCAGAGCAGCTCTGTGTCCTTGGCTTCCAGCCCTCTATCTGCCCCTCCAGCCCCACACCGGGGGCCACCAGCCCCACCCTGGCCTAGGCCTGGCCAGCCGCCCTCCAACAAGCCCTGGCTTGTCTAAAACCAAGCAGTGGATTTGGCTTAGGCTCCAGCTGGGCCCCGCCATATCCAGAAGGCACCTGACCTGCACAAGTGTTTGAAAATGTCCCGTCTTCCTCCCCCAGGCCCCTCAAGGGCTGCCCCTTGGCAGCTACTCTGTGTACAGAACAGCTGTCCCTAAGCAAGCCTCTCTGTGACACTCAATGCAGTGTGTGTGCGATCCTGACTGTGTGTGCGTGTCTGTTTCTGTGTCTGTACACACACTCATGTGTGCATGTGCATGTGTGTGTGTGTGTGTGTGTACAGCCTGACTACATGCATGTGGATGTCTTTGTGCTTGTGTCTCTGCACACAATTGCGCGTGCATGTGCGTGTGTGGCTGTATGCACTTGCATGTTTCTGTATATGTGTGTTCACAGGTACATGCTCACGCACATGCGTATCATGCCTGTGTGTGTGTTTCTTGTGGGGTTCTGGTGGCCTCCCCAGCTGCGACCCCAGGTGGCGCTCCTTGTAGCCTTCTTCCCATCTGTGCCCTGCCAGGTTCCCCCCGCACCCCCAGCCTGCCCACCTTACCCCATGAGCTCCGCACTCTGCCCCCTCGGGCTTCCCGAGACCACAGCTGGCACGGAGTGTCAGCCTCCGTTCCAAGCCACCTGCACTTGAGTACAAGTGTGTGGGGCTGCTGGCACCCAGGGGTGTGTTTTCTGGAAATTAGCTTTGTTGCCTGACAGTTTGTGACACACTTGATAGAGACAGGCTAAGGCAGTGGTCTGGGCAGTGTGGGTGCCACATCCCCGCGTGACACTTGTCTCCCCATGGTGTCCTGAGCTTCAGTGAGAGGGTGGTAGAGGAAAGATGGGCAGGTGGACTCGGGGGAGGGGGAGAAGCACCCCAGAGAAACTGGCCTTTGGGGCCTGGCTCTGGCTGCCCTCCCTCCCTGCCAGCCAGGGGACTTGACTGTGGCCCTGACTCCTGGCCCTCAGCCAGTGCCTTTGCCCTGTGCCTGCCCAGCTCAGCAGAGGTCGCTGGGCCATGGAGCACAAGCCCCAGAATAGTGCTATGATGCTGCCGAGTGACATTCTATCGCTGGGCCATCACGCTGAGCAGTGTCCACAGTCCCGAAAAGGAGAAACCCAGGGACACTGGGCGTCCCTCATGCCAAGCCAGGGATAAGGGCATGGCTGTGTGTGAGGAGCCACACCAGTGCCTGTCGGCTCCACGCACCTGGACTATCACACAGGCGGGCCCTCTGGCTGCCCGTGGCCACCAAGGAAGCCCCAGCTCCCATCCCCTGAGCAGAGATGTCTCCTGTGGGACACAGAGGGAAAGCTTCAGGACTCAGCCTGCTGGGTCAGCCTCTAAAAGATGTTGATCTGGAGATCGTCCCTTTCTGCGGAAGCTACGTCCTCTCTCAGGGCACTCAGTGGGACCTTTGGGGGCACAGGACCAGAAGCCAGCAGCTCACTGCTCAGCTTTCAGGGGTCCCGTCCCTTCTGCGCCTTCCAGAGTGGGACCACAGGGACCATATGCAGTCCACATCCAGAGGGTAGAGGACACTGTGGCTCCAACTTTCTCCTAGAGCCAGCCTAAGGACAGCTTGGAAGGGAGGGGATGTGGCCAGGGCCTGGGCCTTCCGCCTGGTCATGTGGGGCCTCCTTCTCCAGCCTGGGACCTGAGGGTGACAAGGGCCCTCTTCTGAGGGCAGGGACAAAGAAAAGGAGGCGCAAGAGCTCAGAAAGGCATAGCCTGGGAGGCGGCCAGAGGCAGACCTTGTGCCTCTGCTCTCGGCTTGGTACCCAGTGCCATCCCAGGAGCAGTGGCACACGGAGCCATATTGCACAGTGTTTCTTTAATTGAAGGACAACGGACCTCAGAAGCAGCCCTCCTTGAGTTGGGTGTGACTGACACCCCCACCACAGCAGGGACCAGAAGGCAAGGGGGGACTAGCCATTAAGGGGGTACTTTGTTGGTATGCCGATTCTCCTGGGGGACAGAGGGATCGCTTCTCATGGGGGCATGTGGCTGCCTCCCTGGGCAATCTGTGCAGGTCTGGCCTCCACCTTCCCAGGCAAGACCGGGATCGAGTGGCCAGGGGCAGCTGGTCCCCACTTATTTGGGCTGGGGCCTGCAACAGAGAACAGAGCCATTCCAGGGCTAAGGGTCAGGGCGTGTGTTGTGTGTCAAGATCCAGATCTTGTGACAAGTCAGATCCAGGAGTGAGCAAGTCATGGAGCCCTGGAGGGAGAAGGATGTCAGGAAGCATGACACAGATCGAGGGGGAAAGAGGGGATGAAGACAGAGGGCTGGTTCTGGGCCAGCAGAGCAAGGTGGCTGTGACAGACAAGCTGAGAACTTGGTGAAGTGGAGGCCCCGAAGCCTGGGACAGGGGAGGAGGGGGGAGGGGGTGCTGAAGGAAGTCAGGGAGGATGTCAGGGCGCAGTGCTTGCCTGGCATTGGCTCAAACATGGCCCTGGATGTCCATCTGAGCGTCAGGGCTGGGAGGAGAGGCTACCCACAGGAGGAGGGGGAGGGGGAGGGGGAGGAAGAGCACCTGCCTGGGTAGGGAGCCCCTGTCCCTACCAATACCCCTTGCTCCAGCAGATGGGTCCCCTAGGGCTGGGTTTCAGGGTGAACAAGAGGAAAGCTTCTTAGGGGTGCCTCTGGGTGGCCACGGTGGGTGGGCAGGGCAGCTCTGAGGCTGAGGGGACAGGTGATGGGGGCCAGGCCCTGTATCCACCTGCACACTTGGGAGCCAGGGAAGGCAGCGAGTGGCTCAGGGTGGGGACCAGGTTCGGGCTCCACTCCTCAGCCTCTCCTCCAGGGCGGCAGGCTGTGTTCCCTGGAGATCCCTACCAAGGCCACTGTGGTGGCTGCCGCCTCCTCTACTTCTTGTAGTTGCCAAACTGGATGGCCAAGCGGTCAGTGACGCAGCGGAAGGTGGCTGGCTGCACCTCCCAGTAGGGCACAGGGTTGTTGAACAGACTGATGCCGTTGTAGTAGGCCCGCTTGACACCGAAGCCCATGGGGCAGAAGTCGTTGACGCCCACTTTGGTGATGTTGTTGGAGTGCAGATAGACCACCTAGGGACAGACGGACAGGCCCGGCATGCACCATGAGGGCCCCATCACCTCAGAGCGTCCTTTCCACCTCTTCCGGTGTGGCTGGGTGCTGTGGGCACTGATGCAGGAGGGGGTCCTACAGGTCAGCAGGCGAAAACTGAGGCTTGGACATTGGGCAGGCATTGGCCAGGACCGGGCCTCTGCTGTGTGACCAGGGACTGGGATGAGGAGATCAGGTGGGATTCGTGGAGAGGGGTGGGACTGGGGGCGTCATGTGCTGTGTGGACTCGCTCCTGGCATGATGTCTACTCAGGAAAGATGGCACCTTGGGCTGACAGAAGGCCCCTGGAGAAAGCCTTCAGGATGCTCGCCCCACCCTTGCAGCCCCCTAATCCCAAAAGCCACTGTCTTGCAGGGGATCAGCAGAGTCCAGGTGAGGCCTGCTTGCTGCAGAGAGACAGCCAGTCGCTAGAGGGCGCGCTTGGCCAGGCATGGGCCACTGCATTGTCCCAGGACTGTGCGCCAGGTGTTTGGGCATGGCCGGGCCCGGCTGCATGACTTCAGGGCTGCGTGGCGAGTGGGATGACAGTATCGCTACCTGTTGTGATTGGGAAATGGCATGCTGCAGGAGAGGGAGTGGGAACCGAGGAGTGAGCTCCCTGCCCATCCCACCTGGAGGAGCTTGAGGTCCGGGAGCCCTGCAGGCACCCGGGACAGCTTGTTGTTGTCCAAGTGCAGCTCCCGCAGAGTGGGCAGGAAACTCAGGCTCCCATTCTCAATCATGCGGATCTGGTTGTGTCCTAGGCCCAGCCTGTGGACGGAGCAATGAGAGTCCTCAGAGGCTGGTGGGAGAAGGATGGAGGCACGCGGCCTCCCGTGCTGCCCTTGCAGATTCTTACCTGTACAGCTTGGAGTAGCGCAGCAGGTCCTCTAGCTCAATAGCCTGGATTTTATTGTGGTCCAGATGGAGCTCGTTCAGGGTCTCGGGGAGATCTGCCGGGGGGTGAGGGGTGGCTGTGGGTGAACACAGGGCCCAGGAGGGCCCGTTGAGTGAGTGGAGGGCCTGGCCGAGTCCCGCCTACCTTTGGGGATGCCGGTGAGCTTGGCCTCAGAGATGCGCAGGTAGTTGAGCTTCAGGCCGTCGAAGGCTCCAGGTTCAAAGCCACTGTTCTCCAGGGGGTTCCCGCCCATCTCTAGGAGACAGGCCTTGTCAGCCTTGCTGGTTGTCAGCCCTTGCACCCGCCTCCTCCTGGTCCTCTCCCTTTCCTCTCTGCCGGCCCAGTCACCCCGCACGCGCCCTTCAGCAGGAGTGATCGCCCACGTTGAGGGTTTGCCGAGAAGGACACCCAACTGTCTTTAGACTGTTTTCAACACTCGATCAAGACTTTAAAGCCACCCTAGGCTGAGTGTGGTGGCGCATGCCTGTAATCCCAGTTCTCTGGGAGGCTGAGACAGGGGGATTACAAGTTTGAGTCTAGTCCCTGCAATTTGGCAAGACTCTGTCTCAAAGAAAAAAAAATAATAAAAGGTCCAGGCATGTAGTAGCTCTGTGCAACGATCCTGGATTCAATCCCCAGGACTACGAAAATAAATAAATAAAACAAAGCTACCTCCAATCTCCTTTCACAGTGCCCTGGTTCGAGCGTGAGGGATGCTGGGTGAGGCTGCCCCATGTCCCTGACCCCTCTAGGCCCGCGCTTTTGGACAGGGCAGGGACATCACCGATGCAGTTCATATTGCGGAGCCCGCTGAACACGCCCTTGGGCACTTTGCGGATGCGGTTGTCATGGATGCGCAGCTCCACTAGGGAGCTGGGCAGGTTGGGTGGGATCTCCACCAGGTGGTTCTTGGAGATGTACAGCTTCTGCAGCTTCCGCAGCGGGCTGAAGGCCTTCTCGTGGATCTTGGAGATCTTGTTGTTCACCAGGACAAGGGCCTGCGGATGGTGGGTGGCTGAGGAAAGCCCCAGCTCCTGAATCTTTTCCTCCACCTCCCTCGATCCCTTCCCAGGATGCCAGAGCTGAGTGCTGCTCGGCCTCAAGGTCAGTCTGAGCCCTGCTGCTCCCAGTCTCAGTTTTCCTCTGGCACACTGGCTACAATGACTCTGTTCTTCCCGTGTTGCTGGAACAAACCAGTATGGAAAGAGTTCTGCTGAGAAGGCACCCAAGGTGAGTGAGCTCTTTGGGTTTTGTTAGTGTTTTTTGAGACAGGGTCTCTCTAGTTCAGGCCAGCCTTGAACTCACTATGGAGCCCAGGCTGGGCTTGAACTCACAGCGATCCTCCTGCCTCAGCCTCCCAAATACTGGGATCACAGGCGTGCGCCACCACATCTGGCTTTCTGACTTGAATGATCTTGTCCTGTGCCCACACACAAAGTCCATGACCTTGGGAACTCCAGCCACCTGCCATGCCCTGCTCTCAACTGTCCAGACTTGGAGGTGTCTGGATCCCTGTCACTTCCCACACAGAACCACCCACTCCTCTCTGCTCCTCAAAGTGAGAGACAGTGAGGATCTTACATAGAGGTGCTGGAGGCCTTTGAAGTCATCCTTGCGGAGCTCAGAGATGTCGTTGCTCTGCAGGTCCAGCAGCATGGTGTCTGGGGAAATCTCCTTGGGCACATTTTTCAGACCTGAGGGCCCGAGCCATCGCCAATGTGAGTGCCAGCTCCCCAGCCCGCTGGCCCCGCCCAGGGCACCAACACAGGGACTCTGCCTCAATCCCCTCTGTCCTCTCCCATTACTTGCCCATGCTGCCCTCCCTCGCCCACCCCACAGGGCGGACGTGTGTCCCAGCTGTCCAGGGACTAACCCAGGTCCGAGCACTGGACAACTCGCAGGTGGCAGTGGCAGCCAAAAGGACATATGGCACTGAAGGTGGGTGTCACGGAGTCCATGTCTGGGGCACCAGAGGTGCTGTCAGCGCCCGAAGCCTCCTCATCATTCATGAACAGCCCGTCATCCAGGGCAAAGTCCCAGAAGCCCTTCTGCTCGAAGGGCAGGGCCTGGCCCAGGGCCAGCAGGGTGGCCAGGAGCCACAGGGGCTGCATGGTGCTCGAGCCTGGGGGCCAGGGTGAGAAGGGGCCATCATCAGCCCTTTGCAGCCCACCTTCCCGCACCGTGTCCCCATCCTTCTCCAGGGGCAGCTGGAGCCGGGTGGGAGGCAGTTTCCACCCCTCCTCTCCCAGGCAGGACTTGGTTTTGTCAGGTCATGGAGCCCGCTTTGGCGAACATCAGTGCAGCCTGGAAGAGGACCCACGGGCCACCCAGACCAATCCCTTCCCAGAGCTCGGGGCGCAGGGCAATTCGGATGCAGTCAGCTAAGCTGGGCAGCCGTGAGTCATTTCCTTCCCTGTCAGAGCCTCTCCTCCGTGCCCACGTTTCTCACAGAGGCCAAGGCACAGGAAGAGTGGGCTGGGCAAAGAGGGACGTCCCCTAGGGCCACAGCAGCTGTCAGTGGAGGTCCCTTCCCTCTGCTCCCGTGACCTCAGCCCTCTGAGCTGCCCCTGCCCTTCCTGTGTGCCCACGCATGGCATCCTACAGAAGCCCTAAGTGGGGCTGGCTGCTGCTGGGCGGGAGGGCAGGGTCAGGCTTGTCTGAGACCCCCCAGGCTGAGGCAGCCGGGTATGGATGGAGAAAAGCTGCCCTGCCCGAGCCTGCCCCGGATGCCCACATCTGCCTTTCTCTTCCTCCCCCATCAGATGCTGCCCCCACCCAGAAAGGGCCTGCAGTGTGCCAGCTTTTTCCTCCATCTGTTGGATGTGGGTAGACATGTCCGCCCTGCTGGCTTCCCAGCCCGGGTGCACCCTTGAGCCACCCCAGCCCAGTTCCCTCTTGCATGGGGAGCTGGAAGGGTGTTGGGCCCTGGGGCCGCAGGACTTCCCCACATGGGGTGTGCCTAGCCTCCCTCTCTCCTTGGAGCCTAGAGATGCACTGATCACACCCCAGGGTCCTGCCAGGCTGGCCCAGTGGGAGCTGGGGACCCTCCCAGAGTGGGCGGGCAGACCCCTGCTCACCTACCTAAGTGCTGTCCCCCTTCTTCCCCTTGGTTTGCAGCCTCTGGACCCTGAATTAGACACCCATGTGGGAGGGGGGAGGAGGAGGAGGAGGAGGAG